GTTTTTTGAACATGTGTGCAACAGGCACAAGAAGTTCTCAGATGCGAGCTAGTCTGCACTCTACATACAGAAAGGAAGCTAAGCACTTCTAAAGATGTGGATTATGCAGTTAACAAACTGCAAGAGGAAATAGCTAGAACTTGTATTTTGTTGAAATCTTTTATAAATCTAAATCTAAAAAATACAGCAATAAAATTGAGTCGAAAGAATATTTAATTTAAATGAAATAAAGTATGTTCAAAGGTTTCTCAGTTACAAAGCAATAGTTTCTCAACTTTACTTCAAGATATTTTTAAATATTTTTTGGTAAACATAATAGAAATCTCCTATAAAAATAAATGCATAATTCTAGCGAGAATTAAATTCTTTGCATATTTTAGTCTCGTTATTATATTTCCTTAATTTGTAAATAATTGAATAAATCTATCATGAATTGAAATATTAAAATATTTAACAGATATATACTAACTATACCGTCAATACCTAGTTCCATTCTATCAAAACATATAGTGTATATAGGGAAGAGTATTTTATAGTTTCGTCATAACAATTTCCATTGATCTCACTTTTAAGGCTCATATACTCGTATGCCTACCTCAACAGAGTCAGCACTTCAAAGTGACACCCGTATTAGAGGTCTGGATTGCCCCACGTACAGTCGCAACATTAAACTCGGGTCCAGAACTCAAGACTCCGAATGCTATAAAACAAGCGACCTGTTAGATTAAGTGCGCCTAAAAAATGTAACTTTTTGGGAAGTTTTTAGAAGCCAGCAGCCAATGATCGAGTGAAACTGCGCGGCATCAGTTGTGCTGCTCTGAAAATATCAAGTTAGAAATGTTTGTATTGAAGCTGTTGCCGCTGCTGTTGCTGCTGTTCTGCCTGGCAGCCGCTCGACCAGGCATTGAGAATCATTCAACACGTTTGCTCGACCGCCACGGAGCCAAACGCGTTGAGTTTCGGTATGCCAATCAGGAAGAAGGCTTGTACTACACAGAGCTGGACACCAGCTTGCGCGATGTCCTGCTGCAGATGCGTAATGTGACACAGCAAATGCTGCTCTCGCAGTTCGACTGGATACGAGCCAGAAATCTTGAAGCTGGTCACATGCAGCTGCCCGTGCTGCCGAGCGAAAGATTCCCTTGCGATCTAAGCGAAGGTCGCTCCCCGGAGATACCTCAACACATCAGTCAACTACGACCAGGTGACATAGATATCGTGGCGACCTGCGGCGATTCATCCAACTCTGGCACGGGCATCCTGAGCCTAAGCGAACTCGATGCCTACGTGGAATATCGGGGCTATTCCTATGCGGGCGGGGGCTTCGAGAGCTGGCGCACAGCTCTCACGTTGCCCAACATATTGAAGCTGTACAATCCTCGCCTGCATGGCTATGCCGTGGGCCACAGCCTGGGCGCAGATGTGAATGTGTCGCGTTTTAATCTGGCTGAGCCCATGCTGAACATTCAGGACTTGCCATTTCAGGCGCATGTGCTGATCGAACGTTTCCGCAGAGATCCCAAGGTCAACTTGAAAGAGCACTGGAAGCTGCTCTCCATTCAGGTGGGCGCCAATGATCTCTGCTCAGAGATGTGCAACGCTCCCGATCCGGAGCACTTTCTGCGCATTGTCGCTCGTCAGCTGCACGAGACGTTCAGAATACTCAAAGACCAAGTGCCACGACTGCTAATCAACTTCATCATCCATCCAGACATCGATGAGCTGCTCAGTCTCTTGGCTCGAGCTCCGGCCAAGTGTGCTCACCGCGTGCCCTTCTTCTGCGCCTGCCACAACAAGTACAATCAGAAATTCCTGTACGATGTAGCCAAGCGTTTTCTTAAACTCCAACTCTCCATTGCCGCCCTGCCCGAGTTCCGCAGCGATGACTTCGCCATTGTGACCCACGGCATACTGAGAAATATAAGCAGCTTATGGTCGCAGCAGGGCGTCATGGACTTGCACTTCTTTGCCAACGACTGCATACACTACAGTCAACTGGGCCATGCCGTTCTAGCCAAGATATTATGGAATAATATGCTGGAGCAAACGGACTTGAGCTCGGTTGAGTCCTGGCGAAAACCCTTTAGCCATTTGCTGTGTCCCAACCAGAAGAGGAAATATCTGAGAACTGAAAGCGACGTCTTCTAGAGAACTAGAACTGGCTTAGATTATTTTATATAGACTTTATTCTGTCAAACTCGAAATTCTCTGAAATTCAGCTACAAATGAAATTCTTAAATGTAATTAACATTATATAATATAAAAATTTCTATGGGGCTCAAAGTTACAACTGCTCTCAGCACAAAAGATCAGCTGTTGCCTCTTGGAAGCTTTAATTTACTTAATGAAACGATTTACTTAATGAATTACTCGACACGAACTCGGAATACTCTAAGAAAACAGCGCGTCGAGGCAATGAAACTTGAATACGGGAGAAATATATGAGCATTCAGAAATATCAGAGCAATGTCCGACCGCCTTCAGTTCCAATTTAACACTGCCTAGGGAAAGCGAGCACAGGGAGAGCGACAATCCCACCCCAACTTCAACGGCTGCTCTTGCAAATATATTTACCTATTACTCTGTAATTCAAATAATTTAATAGATATAGAGATAGAGATATCAAGCGATATGATGTTCCTCTTAATGCTTGTCTCATTGGAACTTCCCTTGTAGAAATTTGGATAGATTACTTTACTTCATTATTTACTATTAAAATTCGTAAGACACTGCAAAACATGGCGCTCAATCGAGCGGATGCTTTGATGACCAACAATAGATTCAAGTTGCCCTGAAATATTGGCCAGACATGATTGTTGCACGTAGCATCGGTTGAACTTGATTTCTTAACTGCGTTTTACTAATTCTCTTAATAGATTGCTTTCGCACAATTCTATAGACATCATCTTCAAATATGGGGAACTCAGCTTTGACATTCAGAGTTGGCAATCAGCTCTCACCTCGATCGGTATATAAAAGCCCTTAAAGCCACAACTTTGTGGTTAAGCGCCAAGGCACAGAATAGAGGTATGTCCGGGGCCAAGACAACAATTTGACATATGCCTTAACTTTGGAAGCAGCTAAACATGGCATAAGTTAGCTATGCTTTCAGCTAACTATTTGGGATGATACGCCTACGAATACGAATATATGCACACTAAGCGCTTTAGCTGGTAGCAATGGATCCAGACTGATAATAAATATATCCAAGAATATATAAAGTTACTCAAAGCCATGCAATCCCCACGGGATCTGCCTCTGACTAATGGGGCCTTTTCAATTCGAGTTTCCGTATACATCACCTCGACTTTAGCGAAATGAGAGTTGACTGCGTTGCCTGAGCTTGGACGCTATTATGAATGATACGGGTCTTGTCTTAGTCATGAAATACTTTACGCAACGAGAGGCTACCTGCAACTGAGCAGTTGACCTCAGTAATACGTGATCCTGACAACGACAACGATGAGCAAACATTTCTGCGTAGCGGCTACATAGCGGAAGTTCCAAGACCTGAACAGCCTTCGTGGCATCAACTTTATCCGAGACACACCTATCTACACATGAGTCAAGCCCCACTCATTTTATATAGTTTATATTTTTAGATCACTTCAATTCACTTCGCTCATTGTAATAATATGTCTATATATATCAATATACATATATATAAAAGTATATGTATCTTTGAGTATGTGGGCAATAACCCAGATCAAGTACGAATAAATAATGTAAGGTTAGATTTTTGCATAGACAGCACTTAGATCTCAAGACGTCAGTTCCTTTGACAAATATATCTATGCAAACAATTAGCTATTAACATTTGAAGTGGGCTTAAAACAACCGAAACAACAGCAACAAAAACTTTGCTCTAGCTTAATGAGTAAATATTTGTAGAGCTGAGCTTTGAGCTGAAATCACGCATAACAATTGGCGGAACTGAGTAACAAAATAACTGATGCAGTGACCTGCGTCATGAAGGGTGTAGAAATACTTATTGTTGATAGTGTATATTAGTTTTTGTAGACATTTAAAATAATAATAATAAAATGTTTTCTATATATAATATATATTTCTTCTTGAATTAAATTCACGTTTAATTATATTTTATTTTAATAAAAAAATAATGTATTAATATATTAATATATAATATATAATATATAATATATAATATATAATATATAATATATAATATATAATATATAATATATAATATATAATATATAATATATAATATATAATATATAATAAAATAATAATATAATATTTTATTATATAATATTTTCGATATATTACATATTTACATATTTACCTGAATTTAACCTGATGTTAAGACTTAGATAAGTTCAAGTCTTGCAGCTTGCCCGAAGCTCTGATGTTTTTCAGCTCAACTACATTTAAGCTAATGATAACTAGCTTTGCAACGGGTTTACTGAGTTCAGTTTTGGGAAACATCGTAACGTTCAGAGTTAGGAGAGTAATTGAGCTCCATTCTAAGCCCCTGTCAAAGTGTGCGCAACTCTAGCTCCAATTTATCTACATGTTTATTCAGATACATATATAAACATACTTTTTATATTATATGAAACATTAATTGTTGTTTGTCATGTTGTGGTAGCATCAAAATGTTGTTCGCGCTCTTTCCAAGGTAACTTCATTTGTTGTGTTTGTTATTGTTTTTGTTTCGTTGTTTTTATTTTGATTTTTATACAATTTTCGACAACATCTTTGAACCCTACGCACTTGTAAGTCGAGCCCAAGCAGTGGCACAATTCGTCTGTGCCATTTGCCGTTGTTGTTGCTGTTGTTGTCGTTTTAATAGTAGCTAAAGTCTCGGTCAACGCATTCGAGTCAAGTTCTGTAGTGACAGCTCTGAACTATGCCGGGTTGTTGTAGTTGCTGTTGCTTTTAATGGAAGGAATTGAGTGCTCGAGTAACTCAATGAGCGCTCAAACAGAGAGCTGAAACAGCCAACCTTATATTGTTTGAGAGGCCATTTATAGCAACATTTAAGCGCTTGACGCACTAGCGTTCCGTGTGAGAACGGTTCGAGATGTCGTTGTGCGTGCGTGTCTGCTCGGCGCAGAACTAGAAAGGACTGAACATGTATCGCTCAGCCTGTGGAAAAGTGTCGAAATGAATATCAGATAAATTGTGAAAGTCAAATTCATTACGTTCCACATACAATCCACATGCGTTAAAGTGAAATTAAACCAAATCTTACGTTCCACCTAAGTACACAGACACTAGAATGACACTAACTACAATAAAAGATTTGACATTTGTGAAAAAAGTATCGAAATCAAAAAACATCGAGATCCACATATCATCCACACACATTATATAAGTGCAAATGTGGTATACGTTATAAATGTGATAGATATTTCCCAATAAAGTGCAATAATTAATGTTCCACATAACATCCACACTCGCTAATGTTAACAATATATAGTACAAATTCTAATGTTACTTGTTAAAAGGAATATAAAGTAGAATCCACATACAATCCACGAAAGCAAATGTGCTCCAAGTGACTGTTATTTCCTCATAGCACATAGGCCACAATGCCAAATATACGCAGCAGTATATTTGTGCTCTTTGTGGTGCTTTGCATCGCGTCACACACAAATCCTTATGTCCTACGTCCTCGCCTGAAGAATCGCTCCCATCAGCTGCTGGGCAGCATTGGAGTGCATTCCAGGCACTTCAACCCGCTTCGACCGGTTACAAATGGTGTACCGCAATACACGGATATTGATCGCAATTACCGCAAATTGTTTCTCATAATTCGTGGAACCTTGTTGAGTCCGGCGCTGAATGACATTCCAGCACTCTACAGGCACAACAGGCATGAGGGCAAAATGCAGGTTGCGATTCCCAATCATGTTCCATTTCCCTGCCCGCTGAATAATACACGATCCCGAACAACGCCGACCTCTGTGGAACGTCTGCGACCTGGCGACATAGACATTATTGCTTCCATAGGAGATTCCCTGTCCGCTGGCAATGGCATTGTATCCAGCAATATGGTCGACCTGCTTAAAGAGTTTCGGGGTTTTTCGTTCACTGGCGGAGGTTTGGGCACCTGGCGCACGGCTCTAACGCTGCCCAACATACTGAAAGTCTTCAATCCAAAACTCTATGGCTTTGCCACGGGCCACAGTCTGGTTGCAAACCATGAAACTTCGCATTTTAGCATTGCAGAGCCCATGATAATGTCGCACGATCTGTTGTATCAGGCACGTGTGATCATCGATCTGATGCAACGCGATCCACACGTGGATATGCAACGACACTGGAAGCTGCTCACCGTGTTTGTGGGTAACAATGACCTCTGCTCCGACATCTGTCACTGGGACGATCAGCAGAAATTGATCGATCGCCATGCTAAAGATCTGCGCCAAGCCTTTCGCCTGCTACGGGACAATGTGCCGCGGCTGCTCATCAATCTGGTGGCAGTGCCCAATATTTTAGCCACGATGGGTCCTATTAAGGATGTACCCTTCCAATGTTTTTTGGTGCATCGCCTTGCCTGCAATTGCCTGTTGAGCGATCGTCTGACCGCTGCCGAGGCACAACAACGACACAACACGATTCGGCGCTGGCAACAGGTGGATCTGGAGGTAGCACGTTTGCCTGAGTTTCAACGAAAAGATTTTGCTATTATTGGCCATCCCTTGCTTATGAACCTAAGCGCGCCCTTGCTGCCCAATGGTAATGCGGATTGGCGCTACTTCTCCCACGATTGTTTCCACTTCAGCCAGCGCTCGCACGCAAGCGCCTCGAGTCTGTTGTGGAACAGCATGTTCCTGCCGGACGAACAGAAACCGCGACCCACCAAACTGCCAGAGCCTTTCGAAAGGTTTATGTGTCCCAGCAAGGAGCAGCCTTTCTTTGTGGTGCGACCCAGCTGAAAGAGTTGAGAATCGAAATGAATATAATTAGGATATTAAATTTTGGATATGCTGGTATTATAAATAGTCAAATTGTGGGGAAATAACTGGGAGGAATTTAAAAATAAAAATAAATACCCAAACGAAATGTTTTGGAAACTTTTGAAATTTTCAATATTATTTTTATAAAATCTGCTGATTTTTATACCCTGAATCCAACAGCCGAGTCCGGCCTGCTGTTTGCACGCGTCATTCCCGCAAATTTATATGTGCGTAGAAGCAGCTTTAAATGAGTAGATAAACAGCAGCTCCGCAGGGTTCAGAATATCTGCTAGTCGGGCAATCCTGAGCCATTTTCGTATCTAGCTGATGTATTTGTAAAGCCATATCATAGGCAGATTGGCAGGAAATCACTTAATCTCCTTGTTAATTATTTGTTTAAGTAAATTAATTATATTCTAAGTCATAACGACTTTAAAATTAATAAAATGAGTTTTCGAATTATTTATACTTTTTGCTTATAAGAAGTCATATATTTATTGGAATTGCATAGTTAACTGAATTCTTAGTTTCGATAGACTCTCTATCATTGTCTAATTGTGTAGCTTTTTGATCAAGCTAATTGGCAATTTCCATCACATTGCTCTCATACAGAGCGATCAGTATTTAAAATAGTCGAATGATCCCATGGTTAATATGAAGCAGCATTGAAAGCTGCTCACCCATCTTGCACAATACTTGAAGCAACCTCTGATGTACCATGTCATCACCATATAATGTATTCCAATATATAGCGATAAGCAAACATTTCTGCATAACAGCTAGGTACCGGAAGTTCCAATATCTGAACAGCCTTCGTGGCATCAACTTTATCCGAGACACACCTATCTACACATGAGTCAAGCCCCACTCATTTCATATAGTTTATATTATTTTATGTCTATATATATAAAAATATATATTTATATATATAAGTATCTTTGCGTATAGGAGCAATAAGACAGATCAAGTACGCATAAACAATGTGAGGTTAGATTTTTACATAGACAGCACTTAGATCTCAAGACGTCAGTTCCTGTGACAAATATATCTATGCAAACAATTAGCTATTAACATTTAAAATAAGTTTAAAACAACCGAAACAACAGCAAAAAAAAAAACTTTGCTCGCGCTTAATGAGTAAATATTTGTAGAGCTGAGCTTTAAGCTGAAATCACGCATACCAAATTTCGGAAAGGGGAGTAGAAACTGCTGATACTGTGGCGTAGGTGCAGGGTGTAGGCATACTTAGCTGTTAGGTATTTAAAAGGAAAGCACTTAAACAGTTAAAGTAATCATTACTCTATAGCATATCATTTCGGAGAGTCCTAATGGTGTTCCCTTTTATAATTTAATAAACATGATTAATATAAACAAGTATGAGTGCTCTAGTTGGAATTGCTCGACTGAGAGATACCCTCAACCCTGCCACTGGCCACTTCAATCAACTCATATATATACTAATACTCATGCAGGCACTTGCTGTGCTTACTGCGATTGTGGAGTAACTTTTGTAGTTTCTTAAGAGATTGCTGCGTTCATTCTGACGGAGACTAAGCAGAAAGACAGACATGTCTCTATCCCCTCAGCTCAGCGTCCTAATCCGTAATATATATATACTTCTGCGTGTTACATATGCTTTCCCAAAACCATTATACCTAATATTCCCATTTTGAATGGGTTCGAGGTTGAACCTGAGTTGTAAACAATCTTATTTGTATGACATTCTTAAAACTCAACAAAATAAAAGTTATGAGAAAAGTGAAATATTAAAGCGCTGGACGCATTTGCATTTCGGATGAGAACGCATCGAGAAGTTGATCTAAGTGCACGATTGCTGAAGTAGAAGACTAGAAAGAACTTGAAAAGTATCGCTTGATAAAGAAAAAGTGTAAATGAAAGAGAAATTGATTATATCCAGCTACAATCCACATGCGTTAAAGTGCTGCTTACAAGATAAAATACTGCAGATAAAATACTTATTCTACGTTTTCCGATAAGTCATTTCGATTGGACAAAAAAATATAGCATCGATATGCATAAAAGTGCTCAAGCTAAATTAACATACAATACACTATAATACAAATTAAGATCAATGTTAAGAGGAATTTTATTGCTAACAAAATTTTACATATCGTATCGATCCACATACAATCCACACACGCAAATTTGATTAATGTGTGCAAATAATTCATAAAAAACTCATGTTACACATAGCCAAAATGCAAAATAAATATTTTCTGCTGTTTGTGGTAATTTGCATCGCCACACACACAGCCGCCTCTTCTCTACATGCTTTGAAGGATCGTTCCCAACAGCTACTAGACAGCATTGGGCTGCGTGTCAATCACGTCAATCCACTTCGACCGATAAGAAATGGGGTCCCAGACTACACAGATATTGATCGCAGTTTTCGACAATTGCTGCTCATATTTCGTGGAATCTTCTTAGGCTCGGCCCTGAATGGTGTTGAGGCGCTCTACAGAAGCAGCATGCATGAGGGCAAATTGCAAGATCCGATTCCCAAGCATGTTCCGTTTCCCTGCCCGCTGAATAACACACGATCCACTAGCACCCCGATCTCTGTGGAACGTCTGCGGCCTGGAGATATAGACATCGTGGCCGCCATAGGCGACTCCTTGTCTGCTGGCAACGGCATTATCTCCCGCAGTGTTATTGACGTCCTTAACGAGTTTCGGGGTTTTTCGTTTTCTAGCGGAGGTTTAGGCACCTGGCGCACGGCTCTGACGCTGCCCAACATATTGAAAGTCTTCAATCCGAAACTCTATGGCTATGCTACGGGCCACAGTCTGGTTGCAAACCATGAAACTTCGCATTTTAGCATTGCAGAGCCCATGATAATGTCGCACGATCTGTTGTATCAGGCACGTGTGATCATCGATCTGATGCAACGCGATCCACACGTGGATATGAAACGACACTGGAAGCTGCTCACCGTGTTTGTGGGTAACAACGACCTCTGCTCTGACATCTGTCACTGGGATGATCCGCAGAAGTTGATCGATCGCCATGCACAAGATCTGCGCCAAGCTTTTCGCCTGCTACGGGACAATGTGCCGCGGCTGCTCATCAATTTGGTGGCAGTGCCCAATATTTTGCTCGCCGTGAGGCACATAAAAGTAGTGCCCATCCAATGTTTTTTAGTGTATCGTGTTGCATGCAATTGCCTATTGAGCGATCGGCTGACTGCTGCAGACATGAAGCAGAGATATAACATTATTCGGCGCTGGCAACAGGTGGATCTGGAGGTAGCACGTTTGGCTGAGTTTCATCGAATGGATTTTGCAATTATAGCTCATCCTGGGATTACAAATCTGACCACGCCCTTGCTGCCAAATGGCAATACGGATTGGCGCTATTTCTCCCATGACTGCTTCCACTTCAGCCAGCGCTCACACGCAGCAGGTGCGAATCTGTTGTGGAACAGCATGTTCCTGCCGGACGAACAGAAACCGCGACCCATCAAACTGCCAGAGCCTTTCGAAAGATTCATGTGTCCCAGCAATGAGCAGCCTTTCTTTGTGGTGCGACCCAGCTGATAGCGCTGAGATTCGAAAAGAATATAATTAGGATATTATATTTTTGATCTGCTAAATTATTATTGTAAATAGTCTATGAATTTCATGAATAATTTACTTGAACGTTACTAAATTAAAAAAAAAATCAAAAATTTATTTTGAGATGATTAATTTTTATTTTGATTCATTTTTTGTGATTTGACATAATTTTTTTTATATATTTTGTGGGGTATAGCAAAAATGCTTAGAGTGGATAAGCATCAAAGAGCATTGAAACACTTGAAAAAATATTAATAATAATATAATACATTAAATATAAATTTTGTATAATTTTAAGTTTATTTTAGGAAAGCGATTTAATTTTTTTCCTTATATGTTGGCCCCTGAGCTAAAGATTCTCAAATGTATGAAAGACACTAATTCAAATATCAACTTTAAGTACGATTCGCATTTAATACAGCATGGAGCATATTCTTATCGATCAAATAAGAAGCGATCCCAGGGCTAATATGGATAAGCATTTAATGCTGCCTATCTCTGCTGGTTTTTATAAAATACGATCTTGACCGCGGCTTGTTTGGGGAAGTTACAATATCTGAACAGCCTTCGTGGCATCAACTTTATTCGTGACACACCTATCTAGCCATGCCTCAATGCCTTTACTTTGCATATATAAATAAATATATATATGTATGCATATGTATCTTTGAATTTATGGGCAATAACCCATATCAAGTACGAATAAGTACAGATGGGCTAGATTTTAGCATGGATTGCTTTTATATAATATGATACTTTAATAAATATGTCTTTGCAAACTTTTAACATTTAAATTGACCGCAAAACACGGAAACATCAAACCATCAATAAAAATGTTGCTTGAGATTAATGTGCAAATGTTTGTTGAGCTGAGCTTTGAACTGAAATCATGCATAACAATTAGGTGAAAGGGCAACAAAATGAATCCAAATAACAGTGAAAATATTATATAATGAAACAGAACTTGGAAAAAGTCTTAATATTAGTATCTATAAAACCAAAAAAAATAATAAACATAATATTATAAAAAATCGAGGCCAAACTTAAGTTGACAATATTCTTATACATATATATAACATAATTAAAAATTGACAAAAAAATAGCAACCTTTAAGTGCTTGACTCAGTTGTGCCTGAGAAGTAGTTATATGTGGATGATTGCTAGAACTAGACTACGACCAGAAAGGACTCAAAGGGTATCGCATAGTATATCAAAAATGAAAAATTAAAAAAAAAAAACCAATTAAATTCCACATACAATCCACATATGTTAAAGTGCTACATATATTTGTAACTCAAGAATGAAATCGAAAGCTTTTGTGGTAGTCCACATTCTTAGGCTATTAAAATACTCAAGGATATTCAGATATCAAGCTAAAACATGCAATTCACTCGCGTTTTTGTGAACTATAGCACAAATTATGAAAAATAGAATATATCAGTTACTAAATTCTACGTTTTCCTTGCACTGCAAATAATTTGACAACACATTCAAAATGCTAAACATCCTATCTGTGCTTTTTGTGGTACATTGCATCACGTCACAGACCAATCCTAATGTCTTCAATAGTGAACTGCAAAACTGTTTCTAGCTCATATGTCGTGGACGTCTTACAGCCACAACAGGCATGAGGATAAATTGCAAGTAGCGATTCCCAATCATGTTCCACCACCATCTACCTCATAGTGGCTTGAAAACTCAATTTCCATATATATCATGATACGATTCATTTGAAATACTTTTTAGTTTTTTTTAATTGGAAACACAAGTATTATTTCCACCATTTCTTCTGCTGAAGCTGTTTTAAGATATTATTTCTAAATTACATTTACTTTGTGTGCAGCTGCAATTACGAACTTATTCTCAAATTATTTTGGGTTTAATTTGCGATCAAAGTGAGAGCAACTCTTAAAATCTGCACCTGTTTAAGCGACCTAACAACCACATTCCACATTATTTCTTCTTATCCAGTCATTTGGCTCAGCTCTGCTCCCCCTTTTAGCCAGCTCCATTTCAATTAAAATATTATGCAATTTTAAATATATACATATATATATTTTTAATTAATTAAAAAACACTAAAAAACAATACACCGCCCAGCATAAAAATTCATTAAAAATACTTTTTGCTTATATCGCAGAAAGTATTTTTCCTGTTTGTTGCGGAACCAAACTCGAACCCGAACCAACGTTTCAACTGTACGCGTGACAACGCCTGCTTATTACGCCTGCTGGACTCCTCCGGTTGCCCGCCCGCTTAGCCTCAGCCTTAATGCAGCAGCAAAAAAATATATGTATATGTATATATATATATAGATATTTTTTTCATATCTATGTAGCATTTGCATATGCAGCGCAGCCACCTGCAAACCGGACAGTTGCCAATGGGCGGCGACCAACCCCCAGGACTCCACACATGGCATATACAAAAAAATTATATATATATTTATACGCCCACTGCAAACAAGGCTTGGGCAGAGGTGGGCGCGGCATGTGGGCAAAAAGCAACCAAAATAAAAAACAAAACAAAGTAAGAAAAAAAATCTGAAAAAATTGTGGCCGCGGCAGCTGAGGCAAGCGTAAGCCAGAGAGGGGCGAGACAGGGCAGGGCCGGGCAGGGCAACTGCAAAAATTATATTAAAAATGCACTGTCCGAATAAAGGGCGTTACACACTCGCACACAGCTGGGAAACACACACGCTGACAAGCTCTTAAACCCTCGCTCCCAAAAAGAAAAAAAATAAATATATGTAAAATAAATGGTAAAAAAATGTAATAATAAAGTTGAAGCGCTTCGCGAGGGTCTGGGGCGGTCCATATCGTTGATATATACTCTTACTCCCTCTCTCTCTCTCGCTCCTTCTCTCTCTCTCTCTCACTCTTTATATATTACATATTAAGCAACAGCAAAAGTGTCCCGTTGCAAAATATGCAATTTGGGTACCAAAATAAATAAACCAAATAAACGAAATGGAATTACAAACAGCCAAAAAGCATTCGAAAAAACCAAACCAAACCAAAAAAAATAAACCCCAAATGATAAATAAAATTTAAAATCTCGAGCCTTGATTAACCCAAACGAGCATTAGGCCAGCGAAGAATGGGCATCAATTCCATATGCACGAGTACACTAGGTAAAAAGCAAAGGCAGAAGACTATCCGACTAGGATATACCCAGCAGCTTTGAGCTATGTTTTAAGTTGAGTAAAAAGTAAAATATTTGTCAACTCCATAAAACATTTAATATCTAAACCTCGTATAGTTTTCGAGTTAACAACAGTCTAGTTATCCAAAACTTTTATAAACTCTTTCTGTTTAAGGTTTCTCAAACTATATATCTCAAATGTCAAGTCTCCAAGCCTCTAGCTTTTGGAGTTTAATCGACTTGACCAGCTCGATCAATATATGCTATGCAGCACACCTCTCCTTGTCTCCTGTTAGCTCTAGCACACAATTGCCCCAAGCCAATATACCCATTTTGCAGAAAAAAAATAAAAGAATATATCCAAACACATTTCATCAGAATAGAGCTAGAACGAGGAGGTTGGCCAAAAAGCGTAGAGCGAGATGCAAACTGTGCATAAATATAATATGATTGCAAACAAAAACATTTGAGCCATTTGAGCTTGTCATTTGTACCAAGTTCTATTATTTTTTTTGTGCTGTTTTTCGCAGCTCGCGGCATTTGGCAGCTACCACCCACAGAGCTGGGTATATAGAGTATATTTTGGGTTGGTCGCGGAGCTTCGAATTCCGAGTCCCGAGTGTGGGTGTATCGACAATGCCAGACATACACTCGTGTGTAAAATCCCGTCAGCTGCCTGTTTCGGATAGCGGTATATATATATTTTTTCTCTGTTAGGGTTAGCTAACGCCAAAACAATCAATACAAAAATATCTGGCATATACGAGTGGAATTTCGAATTCAATTTGTGCGAGTCGATTTTAGATGGGCTAACGAATAACTTATACATATTTATAGAATCTTTTTCATTTGCTTTTCCAAAAAAAATGACCAAAAACATTTGTTCAAAAGGTACACTTTCATGAGATTTAAAGCATTTATAGTTTTTAGATTTGGTCAATAGTTGAGTTTAGTTAAGTGTCTTAACAGGTTTATGTAACTGTTATATAATATATTTATGAAGAGATATAAAAGATATAATTGTCTTGAAATATTTTATATTTTAATTAAGTTAAAATAATTTAAAATAGTTTAAATTTTTAACAATAATTTTAAATTATTTATTTCATGCTTTTTTGTTCAAAAAAATGATTATATACTTCTGCTAAATCAATTTCTAGATTCTTTAGCATTAATTTCTATTGAAATATTTTTTTTATTTTTAATTATGTTGAAATTTTTTTTTCATAATTTGAAAATATTTAAATCTTAATTTAAATTAATTTAAGATTGTTTATTTCATCTTTTTTTTCAAATAAATTATTCTATATTTCTGCTGAACCAATCTTGTCTTAAATAATGTTATTAAAAAAAGTTTACTTTAACCAAACACCTATTTAAATACATTTCCACACATCAGAAAAAATACTTATTGAGTACTTAAAAAATGCTTCAGTTTCTGGCTTGATTTGCTGAACTTTCGCGTCAGATTCAAAGCAATTTGATCAATTCTCGTTGATGACGGCGCCCCTTGAGCTGCTCCGACTCCAACTTCAATTGCAGTAAGTCAACGAACCGACACTTAGCCAGACAAATCCATCAAGACAGCACATCAACTGAGCCAGACAGCCGGCAAGGCGTAGGAAGTGGGGGCGTGGTCTAATACGCAATGGGCATGAAAATGTCTGCAGTTAGCCAGCGGCAAACATTGAAAGTGGTCAGCCAGAAGATGGGATCGGGGTCAGCAGAATGGCCATTGGCTAGCAGAAAAAGTCAACGCTTGACATTAAACAGCGACAACATTTTCGCTTTGCATGCAAAATGCCGGCACAAAGGCGCACAGGATGTCGCGACTCGCATAAAGCAACTGACAATCGCAGCTTCCCAGGGCCATCAGCCGATCCGGCCAACGCCATCAACTCCAACCGCCGTTAACGAACCGCTAAAACA